CGCCTCAGCCTCCCAAAGTGCTGGGATTACAGGCTTGAGCCACCGCACCCGGCCTATTTAAAATTCTTAATGCTTAAATGTTTTCTTCAAATTAAGCGTCTCTTTGAGAAACAGTATCTTATAGGCTTCTCTAGTTTTGGAGAAAAGTCACAGATTTAATTCCTGTGTGACATACTTGTCTTTACACAAAGGCAAATTTAGTTTGAATTGCTTTTTTTTTTTCTTTCAGAGATGGGGTTTCATCACATTGGCCAGGCTGGTCTCGAACTCCTGACCTCGTGATCCTCCTGCCTCGGCCTCCCAAAGTGCTAGGATTACAGGCATGAGCCACCGGGCCTGGATCCAAATTCCATTTCTAACCTAATCTCATGGGAGAGTTGGATCAAATAAGTATTGGCTATTTAAGGGTGGTCTGTTGGGAAAACCACTTAACATATTCTTTTGCCTTGAAAGAGTATCCAGTTACTAGTTGGGAACAACCAAGTAGAAGGGACTGGGATAATTAATTTTGTTTCAGGCTTCAGCAGGTGGCTAATACAAGCAATTAATGGATAAATGGCAGTTTGACAATATTGGTAATTATATCATTCAGGATCTATTTTTTGCAGCTTTGTTGAGCTGTAATTGACTACATATATATCTTGCATATACTACGTGATAATTTGTTATATGTATATATTACGATGTGATTATCACAGACCAGGTAAATTAACTTACATGTCACCTTACTTTGCAGAGTTGTCTTGTGTGTGTATGTGGGGATAACACTTAAAATCTATACTCTTAACAAATTTCAAGTATAGAATACAGTATTGCTAACTGTAGTCACCATGCTGTACTTTAGATTCCCCAAATTTATTTTATTTTATTTTATTTTATTTATTTATTTTTTTGAGACAGAGTCTCACTTTTTCTCCAGGCAAGAGGGCAGTGGAGTGCAGTAGCATGACCTTGGCTCTCTGCAACCTCTGCCTCCCGGGTTCAAGCAATTCTCCTGCCTCAGCCTCCCAAGCAGCTGGAAACACAGGCGCTCACCACCATGCCCAGCTAATTTTTGTATTTTCAGTAAAGATGGAGTTTCACCATGTTAGCCATGATGGTTTTCATCTCTTGACTTCATACTTTCCTGCATCAGCTTCCCAAAGTGCTGGGATTACAGGTGTGAGCCACCACTCCTGGCT